GCATTCTTCATGGAAAGCCTATAAGACCCTTGTTGAAAACTTGGAAGCACAGCAAACATATGTACAAAATTTGATTTAAACAAAAAAAAGGAGCTTATCTGTGGGGTTTTTATTATTATTATTTCCACAAAACAGATATGAGATCAGAGACCTAATAAAAGTGAACAGATGTTTTATTCAGGTTAATTAGACAGTGGGATTGGTGTATTTTGATACTTTTTATGTTTTTTTTCCTTTAAAAGAACAATGAAAGCACACAAATTACTCTAAGTATTTTATATCACAGCTGCGCAGCGTCATGTGGTTTCAGCTTCAATTTCTGTATTATGTTCCTGTGTCTAATTATTACTGTATATTGGTGGTTTGAGACTATAACAAATAGAAGACTAGGGAAAACATTCAGCAGAAAAAACTAATCAGGTTATTACAATATTGACAAAAACTTTGTTGAGATGCAATCAGAGTAAAATTGAGCTCTCTGCAAACACAAACGATCTTTACAAAGTGTCAGAGGCAGAGATGAAGTGTCCTGAAGTTTCCGGAACAAACTGGAGAATCGAGTTTGCAAAATATTAACAAAAAATAAAGTTTTTAATCACCAAATTTATATTTTTTGGAGCATGGGCTTCCAGGAAAAAAAAAAACATTGGAATAGCTCACGTACATTGGATCATATTTTGGCTTTTTCAATAAAGTTATTAAAGGGGGTTCTTATGTATTTTACAGGCACATACTGTAGTTCAATTCTATACCACAATCATGAAACTATGTTACCTACAGTTATTAAGAAAATGCTGAATACAYCAAAATTATTTGCATCATAGCCTAACACACTGAWWTTGGTCTCTGCCTCTTTAAGAACCTCCYACCATTCCTGACACTCCCACTTSATCTTGTCTTCAAAAAAATGCTTGTGGTTTGTRGRGCCMGAGATTAGCTACMGACTGATCTCCAAGGAGGAGCTKTGTCTAAATAGGCGGGGCTTTGTACCAGCAAGCGTTTAGGCAGCTCWAMATGACTGCCACAGGMRATTCAAGGATTTCTCAACATGAATGAATGAGTCAAAGCAACACTCTAGATATGGTTTTGATAAGGGAATGACATTATAACATGATATAAAGTTCAAAAAGTCTATTTTGCCCTTTTTCTTGACCCAACTAGAAGCTTAAAGCAGCCYTTTGATTTATTTAGATAAATTGAATCAATACGATTTTACAGTGTAGGTGCCTGAGTCCTAAGTCTAAACGTTTGATAATCTTTCGAGAATAATGTCCAGGACATGACTAGTTAGAAAAAAGCATTTACATAACCCATCAACACTTCACTATAACAATATGCAACACATTCACTCACTCAGATGTTTATTTCTTGGCCATCCCGCAGTAAACTGGTGAGGTATGACTGCTGAGTTCAGCTTCATTTACACGTTGACAGCTACTTATTCTCATTCACGTCTTAATGCTTCCCAGAAAGAGCTGCTGAAATTTTTAAAGTAAAGAAAAAAGCTCAGAGTAAAACTGTAAATAAGAAACACTTGTTTTCATTCACTGCATAAAACCATCAGGATTAAGTGTTCTGTTTCTCACTGTTCAGGCACGGATTTACAAACCAGACACAGATTCGAACAACATTCGCTGCTTTGACGTTACAACATTTTTAAACACTATCAGTCTCCTGGGAGGCTGCGATAAATTACAACCAAACATGTAAAGTGGAACTCAGTGTTTGATTCCCCCTGAGAACCGACATTACGGCACTAATAGTGGAAGAATGGAGGCTCGTGAGGGTTCGCATGCATACCAGCCGGCTGTTCCAAACAGCTGCCTTGYTTCTGCGAGGACACTCAGCTAAGACTCAGCAGCTTCTACTCGTACCGACACCAGAAATCTCATCTGAGCAGAGATGAAAGCGTGCTATGCACAGGAGTCCACATGCTACAGGGGAAAACAAACAAAATGCCTCAGCACAGGTGATCCAGATKAAATAAATTGGGTTCAGACAGAAAATAAATTCATCTCTGCTGGTGTCGAGTTAAGCTGCGCTGCCTCGCGCGGCCTCTCACAGACCTCTGCCAATCTGTGTGGAAATGAGTCATACTGAGACACAGGGGCGCCGGATCCCAAGGCAAATCCTAAATCTACAAAACTGAGACCGAGCATTTGTTCTGTCTCCAAACAGAATAATTACGATAAGGTCGGGGTGTGCATGAGAAAAAGTGAGCCCCTTGGTGCCACTGTTACATTTTTATC